GAAAATTATACAATATTATCATATACGCTACTTGATTTAGGGATTAATCTCTTGTTCAATGTCGAGGTACTGATTTAGTGACTATTGAAAGTTATTATTTGATTTCATAAGGTTCTAATACTTTAATGAGACCAAGTAGCAGTAAAAACATTCGATTTCGAATCAGAGTGCGAAATAATTATTCGAAAGAAGAAATTTTATATATTTTCTCATACGAACAAAACCTTTTTTCTGTATACTACAGTGCCTTAGTAATTAATACTGACGCCAATAATTAATACTAATATTACAATCAACGTGTGATGGTCCAAAACTATTCTAGTCATGCAACAAGTAAAATTTCAATGCGGAAAATACCATCCTACGTCATAGATAATTTTGCTGAACTTTGCATATTGGTAATACTTGAAATAAAGGAATTCGAAACGCTACAAAATACTTCTTATACACCACACTAATAAAAGCTTTTTCTTAATAAAATACTTTTATTAGTCACTTTGCAAATTTTGTCAGCTTTAAGTTTACATTTATCCCCATGTTTCCTCACTTTACCTAATCACCTTTCGTTAACCCAGTTAAACAAATTTATCATCTTATATTCAGTCGTTACGACTTCTTATTTGTGTTAAAATTTATATAATTAATATTTTGTTAAAAATCATATATCAATTAAACAGGGAATTTTTAAATTGGTTAAACTGTTGTTAATTTATCTTAATTATCAAAATATAAACTTTTTCATTTTTTTTTCAATTTGCAGAATAAATCTATAGCTGTGTATTAATTTCCTAATTTGCATAGATATTCATTTAATCATTTTGTTTTATCTTATTTTTTTCTCTCTTCTGCTGTAACATTAAATATAGCAAGCATGAACATTTTCAGATTTACCGTAATGAATGCTTCTAAGTTCATTAATCTAACTAGTTACTTTTATCATTATTCTTCACGTGAGTATTCTGTTTATGTGCCCATTTAACTCAAAGGTAAAGAATAGAAATTTATAATCGGAAATGGAAAAAGAAATAGATCTGTTATTTATTTGATGGATTTTATAATAAAAAATATTTCTTCCTTTCAGATATACATAACTTTTCTTGGAAGATATAAGATATTTTGGTTTCATGTATTTTTAGTGTATGAAACTTAGTGCATTTACTTTAAATATTCTGATAATTAACGCAAAAGAGTTGTGAAACATTAAATAGAGGCACTGAGAAAATGGTATCAGGTTGAAATCAAATACCAGTACGAGTGTACGAAGGAATAAGGGAAGAAGCTTTTCTTTAAATCTACTTTTAATTAATATGTAATACCTTTGCAATCTTAAGATATGCTATGATGGTAACGAGGTACTCTTTATTTAACTGCTTCGAATTTCTATAATTTAAATCATAATTAAATGGTACGAAATTTCTTGCTTAAAACTGCTGTATTCAGATGACTTTCAGCTTTTCATAAAAGTGTATCACTTGAAAACAGCTGTATGAAAAGATTAAAATTACCTGAATTGTAAAATTCGTATTTGCATTTCACGCAATAAATTAATGTTCTACCTTCATTTGGTATTTGATAATGAAATTATGTTAAAATTTCTACTGATTTTCTTACTATAAGGATTGACTATATCAGTTTTTCATATTCGAATTATCATTATTCTCAGTTGAAAGATAACCCTCTTTTCCCTTTTATTGACCTACAATTAAGAATGAATTTCTCTTCAGTTAATTTCGAACCTGATATTTTAAAGGATACTGTTTTGAACAAACCGAAGTGATGCATTTTAGTTCTAAGAAAAGCCAGTTCTCTTGGCAGTAGGGATGTAAATTACCAAAGCAAGGAAACCCGGGATACTTTCAGACAGCTAGAGACTTTCTGTTTGAAGCTACTATCGCTTACCGGAAATTTTATTTCGGGTACCATTCCCGAAAGAACAGATTAAGTTCATGAGTATTCATATATATATTGGTTCTTTCCTAGTGACGTTTTTTCCCCTTTTTACATCATCCTGCCTTGTTGGTTAGCAGTGTGGTTGCTCGGGGCTGACACCCCCCTTTTGGAGTTTGTACTTACTACGATGAAGACGGCGCCTCTCCAGGTCTGGTTTTAAACAATATTTTTCCTCTTGAAAAAATTTTTGGTCTTAGCAAGACCCTTGCTTCAATTCCTCTGTTTTATTATTATTTAAATTTTAAATTTAAGTTTTGGTACTTTTACAAAGTATTAACTCTTTAAGCTAGTAGGTCCTCCCATAAAATCTTGTATATTTTGACTAATAGCAAATCACTATTTATTTTATTTTGTACATCGGCATTACCATTCCATTGTCTATTGTCTTTATTACACCTTAATGTGTTTCTTCAAACGGACGCGTCGAGAAATTGAAACAGAGAATTGCGATTAAAGATATTGACAAAGTTCTTTTAATTCATTAAAAAATGTTTCACGTACAGTTTCAATTGTCTGTTTCGGCGAAACGCGATATGGAGTTAGCTCGATTCGAAATTCATTAAAAAATAATGTCCCCTGATGTGCCATAATGAGATTCGAATTGGGCTAATCTGCCATTTACCACTTCTTAATTTTTATATTTTTTTTATATTTTTGCTCAAATAATTTGTTAGTACTTTTACTAATGTTTTAAGTTTACCTTAATTAGTTTAGCATATTACTTACTGTTAGTATTGATTTTTACTTGTAAATATTCAAATGTTGTATTTTTTTTCCCTCTTGTAGCACATTTAATTGCAACTAATTTTCCTTATGATAATGTTTTCACGGAACCACAGTATTTCAGCAGCGTTTTAGGGTACGAACTAGGATTTTTCTTTTAACTTTTTTCTAAATTTTGCAGCACAATGCGTAAATTTTTTGACCACATAGGTCTTTTATCGTTTTCTCTTTTTACTTTACTTTAAATTATATATATATGTGTGTGTGTGTGTAACTTGTTTAGCAAATTCTGGTACAGCTCAGAAATTCAAATAAGTAACTAGGTAAGTTAAATTAAAACTTGCTATTTACTTGCCTTTTTATTATTATTATTTTTATTTTTATATTTTAATTGTTGTATATAGTTTATTTTAGGTTTACATACATAATTCGTGTTTGGGAAGTTTCCTGTAGGCAAGAGTTTCTAATCTACTTTGGTTTTCTAAAAAATTTGGTTTTTCTACTCTTAATTGACTTTTAATTTATTTAATTCATTTTAACTCTAGTAATTTTACTTGCTATTTTTTCAAAATTCCACTGTTTAAATTTCCTTTTTTGTAATTCACAACATTTGATTTTACTTTTGGTTTTGAATTTTACTTTTACTTTTACCCTTGCCAATATGGATGACAAAACACGAATCCAGTAATTGAAGAGTTAGCTATGGGGGCAATTTCCCCTTGATAAGTCTGTCTCCTGCCCGCTCAACAATTATTCACTTATGCAATTTTTAGGAATAATAAATTTAATTTTTTGAAATAATACATTTTTTCATGGTTTTAGATATATGCAATTAATTTAATATACTCTTAGAATTTAAATGATATTGTAAATTAGTTCGCAGCAATAATAATTATTTTTATTTTTATTTCTTTGCTTTCAACTTGCTCACTTCACCATTGATCAGTAATATTTGTCTTATTTTTCTTGTTTTCTTGTCTTAGACCCATTTATTTTATGTTTTTTATTCTTCTCTTTTAACAAAAAACTCTTGGGTTGTCCCTTAAAATTGTAAATTGTAATATCTCTATAAAAGGTCCAGGCTTCCTTGTAAAGTTTTTTTTTTCAAAAATACTTTTACGTTTTTTCAACGAAACCACTAATGGTATTAGCTGGATTCGAGTTTTGTCACGCTTTTCCCTTGATAAATCCGTCTTAAACCTCGAGTTGAGCTAATTTAGCATTTATTGCAATTCTTTGTATTTATTTTCTTTGCCTTTAAAATATTTTTGATTATTTGTGCGCAGCATTTAAAATTTGTTAGTTTTTTCTAATTCATTTTTGGTTTTTGAAGTTTATCTCGTTTCGCAATTTTTACATTAAGTTTTTACGCAATAACTTTTACTTCTTTAGTATTGTATTATAGTTTATACATGGTGTAACTTTTTTACTCTGGAACTACAGTATCAAATGTACTTTTAAGCAATAGCTTTTTAGAACTTTCCTCTTCTTTGCAAATGTTTTAAAATTTTGCAGCTCAATGCGCAAAATTTTTACCACATAGGTCTCTCTTGTTCGTGTACTACTTTCTACTTATTATATATATATATATATATATATATATATGAATAAATTTGCCTAAGAGATCATTCCAAAGTAATTGTCTCTCATGTGCACTCAGTTAAACATTGTCTGTATACTGTGTACCCTTTTTTTATCATGTTAAGAGTATGAAGGGCTGATTATGCTGTTAGAAAAGACTTGCTTAAGTCATGCTTGAGATATTAAGCTTGGTGTCGACCAGGCGGTATAGTTGTTAGGGGAGCCTACTACGTTTCCGAAGGGTTCGAATCCCGGAGAAGACATGGATGTTTTCCAAGTATATGTGGCCGTGTCCACTCTAAATATGTGGCAAGCCGAAAGTCTTCTCGTGTGGATTGGTGGAAGAAGAGAGGAGTGGGAGACCCCCAGATCCCCCTAGGGGCTCTCCCTCAAATTTGGTGTGGAAAACAGAAGTCCAGCCTCAGTGTTCAATGTAATATGGACAAGACAACAACAACATTAAGCATGATTGGTGTCTAAGAAAATCTTGATAATATAAAGCACACTTCAGAACTCATTTCCCAAACTGATTACATAATGCTCGTTTCTTATCAAACTTTAATGAATATAGACAGTTTCATAGCTTTAAAATTACTTTACACTCTTTTTTTTAAATATTTTCATCAAACTCAGATATTATTCGAAGTATTCAACATGATGAAACAAACAGATTTATCTCTATTTCTATTTCATTTGTTCTTGATAAATTCGATAACAGAAGATAAGTTGTCTGAATTCATGTATTATTAGAAAGCGCCACAGAAACTTTATACACTTTTCTTAATCGCAAAGTGAAAATGCTTGTTTTCAAATATACTTTGCTCGGGCTTGTACTAGGAATACTGGGCTCCGAAGCCTCCTATGAAGAGAGTAAGTAATTGATGTTCTTTGTAATATTAAAATTTAGAATAAGATAGATATTTAAGATTTCGTTGAAATATTTCTTTTTTGTAAACATTACATTATAAACTTAAAATTTCTAAACATTTGCAAATTCGTGAAAGGAAATAAAATGAGTTATTCAAGACCAATACCAGCACACAGCTGAAAATGTAAAATTAATTGCATCGCATTTAGACGAATAAATTTCAATATTTATGCATAATGTCTGCTGCATCTGCAATTCCAGTTGGGGTGCTTTAGTTTCTGTGACTTAAAATGAAGACTGTCTAATCATATAAAATACATACAGATTGAGCATATACTTTACACGAAATTATTAAAAAAAACAAGTGGTTGATTCTTAGAACTAGGCATATTCCCCTGTCACTTAAATTTCCGTTAAAATATTATTATTTTTATTTCACTCCTGAAAGATATTACTGTTTTCAAGCTACCAATAGCTATGGCTTCTGATTAATCTTTCAGAAAATGCCTTTATTGAAATGAGAATTAAAATGTTGCCTTCGTGTAAAATCGAAACTTTCCTCGTTATATTTTCAGCACAGACAGTCGTTATGTCTCTCAATATACCATGCATTTCAAATAAAATTCATTAAAAAAACTAATAAAAGATTTCCATGCTTCAATCCTACACTGCTGGCCTTTAAAATAGCTGCACTAGTGAGGAAAGCAAATAGCAATAGAATATTTATTAAACATATACAATATTAAAGGGAGGAAGGCATGATTTCATTTAGAAGGTGATTTGGGCTACACAGCGTGTAGAATTCATTGCACACAACTGCCACCTTTGGTAGCAACAATGGCTGTAATCCAGCATACCATACATATTTATGCAAATTAATATTTTATACAAAGTTACATTATTTAGGACATGGATACATGGATGATGTAGTCCAGGTATATACAAAGAAAGTGATTTTATTATTTTGAATAACAGTGTGTGGTCCATATTGTTAAGAACAAATGATATGAGATGATTTACTATTATGTACATTTTTTAAGGCATTAGTATATCTTGTGAGGTGAAAGTAAAGCTACAGTTCAAGGGGACAGAGCAACAGTCGAACACCCTCTGTGTCTAGAAAGGTCAGGATAGCACGGACAACATGCGGTTGCGCTTTATTTTATTCAGTGATTTCAGAACAAAGCCACAAATCTTTTATGATTAGAAATGTAATTGCGGCTGTCCACGTTAGCAGGTATGCGGGCAAGAAGTGAGCTGGATGTGGACCCAGTGGCACCACAGGATTTGGGTCCGTATGACAATGAAGAATGCAAGATGGCAACGTTCGTTCTTCTCGATCCATCCACACAAGCTGTATGCAGAAACGCAGTTTGTGAAAAGATGACGTGGTGTCGGTCAAGTGTCCAGTACCGTCCTTTGGTGCACTTCTAGGAACGCCTTGTCTCTCCTCAAGGAAAGATGCAACAATTTCGCTGTGCTGACAGCCCATGGAGCTGCAGACGTCGTTTCACTTTACATGCGAACACTTGTTGTCCTGCATACGTGCCAAGTCCTGACTTAGGATACGCAACGTAGCTATGCGATTTCCTCAAATACAACATTCCTGCCCTTTCTGGCGTTAGTGGTTTAGGGCCGCTGAGATCCTGTATGGCATTCAGCATGCCACCCCTGGACCTATTGATTCCCCATTCGACTAACAGTCATCTGCTCTCAACAAGCAAAAAGCAGTAATGTCGCAGAAATGATAAGCCGCAGTCCCAATAGGTCTGCTGCGGTAGAATTCTGACACGTGGTGGTTCGAAATGTTCATTCTTGCACAAGGCATAACATAACGTTTACAGAAATAAACAACGAAATTTGATTTCCAAATGAGAAACGTACTATGCAATCTTCCAGTTGATGCTCAATGCATTATTGTATATTTCATACCTGCTTTGTGAGTATTCGGTTGGATGTTAATCATTTGAATATGATAGTATGTAGTATCTTTCCCGCAAATTTGACGTTTTTTGCATGCAGCCTTTATGGAGTAAAACATTTAATGGCCGGCAATGTATAGTAAAAAACTGCTTTGTTGAATAATTAAAAATAGTAGAAAATAGTCAACTGGCTTTGATTTTTCTGTAATACATGACAATAAAATTTTATGAGATTCAAAGGAAATTTTTGCCGCGTTTAGAGGTTTTAAAACTTACTTATATAAAGCACCCGAGTAAAGGAAAGATTTTAAAGTAGTTTAAAAGAAAGGGCGCATGCGCTGCAACTTTTATCGCATGCTTTGGGATATTAACCGTTTGTATATCCCAGCATGTAGTACCTTTCATGCAAATCTGACGTTTGTTGCATACGGATTTTATGGCGTAGGCATTTTAATGGCCAGTAGTGTAAAAAAGAAAATATTTATTTCTTAACGTTCAGATTTGAAATATGTGAATGTAAAGTTAATCATCTAATAAAGACCTTGCGCACCTGCTCGATTTTCTCATTGTTCTCCTCCTACCTTCCATGGGTCAGTTTTTCCTAACATAAAACAGTTATGTCATTCTGTTCTTCTAAACTAATTTTTGATTGAAACACAAGGAATTTAAATGCGAGAAGAAAAGTCTCGCTGCAGTTAAGTGAAATGAAGTTACACAGCGTATGTTATTAAAGTCTTGAGAATAAATTCTAAAGGGCCTAACCCATATTTCAGTGATTCAAAACACCTAACTGAATTCGGTTGCAAACAGCATTTTGAAATCCGTAATCACAAGGCTCCTTTATCTGATCATTATTTGATAATCAGACAAATATTAACCCGTGATTACAGTTAAATGATGTAATTGTCATTTGACATTTATATTTGACTAACGTACATGATACATTTTTCGAATTTTCGCTGACGTTACAAATCTTTGAAATAGAGCACTCAGTTTGAGCAAAAGTGTAAAAGACTTTAACTGTTGGTCATTTTACAATTCGAAAGCTCTAGAAAATCGAGAGAACGGTTTTGTAAAAGAAATATAAGAAATCCAAATTGAAATAAATCATTTATCATTGAAAGTTATGATCCGAAGCTGATTTACACAGAAGTAATTAAAGAGTTAGGGAAAATATGTAAAGTTCTCTGAAATATGAGCTGTTATACTTAGCAATGAAAAGTAGAAATGTGAATGGTAATCGAGAGCGGTTACCTGACTTTCTTCAGCCACTTTTTTCTGAGAAGAGGAATGGGGTAAATTGGAATTTACGCGGAAAGAACAAAAATCTGTCGCCAAATTCATTATACATATCCAAGAGATATTGTCACAAAATGAATAGACAAAAACTGCAGAATTAGAATAGCATAACAAATGTTTGAAGAGAATAGGAAAACACACAGATGTTCATACGCATAAATATGTACTGTAATTACAATAATATTGTAATTAACATGTGTAGAGTCATTAGGATTGTTTGAAGAAGGAAATGTGAAAAATGAGCAATGCCCTCGCCGGGACTTAAACCTGGACCTCTCGAATACGGTCGGCGAGTGTGCTACCGCTACATCACAAAGACATGCCGAAAGGAGGGAGAAAATACCTTATATATTCCCCTTTTTAAATGGCTACTGGGGATAACGGGACCCAGTCGCCAAATCCTGGAGGTGAAGAATCATCATCCACCAACTTTTAGCTCGGGTGCCACTGCAGAGTGATTAGGATATTTTGAAGAAGGGAACACGAAAAATAAGCAATGCCCTCGCCGGGACTCGAACCTCTGGAATACGCGTCGAGTGTGATATCACTGCGCCACGAAGGCATGCATGGAGGAGGGAGAAAATGCCTTATAAATGTACTGGCACTGTGTAGGCAATGTGAGAAATTATTACAGTCTAACCATTACTAAACCACTACATTATTTCAAAGACAATGCTCTACTCAACCAACAAATTTTAGCAATGAAAAAAAAATCATGAGTTATGCGGAATATCGAGTCACCGAAAGTTGGATTTGAGGGGCTCTAGTATGTAAATGTTAATTTTGTTCATTTTCTTCTAATTCTGAACATAAAAGACTAAGATTCAGAAATCAGATTATAGTTTGCGATTCTAGGGTATTTAAACGATTATGCTAGTTGTAAAATATTATATGCTGAATTATTTTCTGAAAATTTGTGAATAAAGAAAAATTATAATAAAAAGAGTGAGAACATAAAAATTATGATGAATTTGAATTGAATGAAGTTATTGACATGAAAAATTATTGATTATTGAACTGATTAAAAATAATGTTGAACTGGCATCGATTACATCCCGAATGTTAAAATGTTCTTAAAATTCGTAAAACATCATAAATGGTTGATTAAACCTAAGTGAATAAGTTTGAATGCCTATGACAGCCTACTCGTTATCCTTGAAAACCTAGTTGCTGTTCGAGCCACAATTGGGGCAGCCAAATGCCTTAAACTGTGTCCCTGCCTTGCGGCCCTATATTGTATCCCTATGTTGTGCCATATATTGTAGTCCTGTCTAGGTGCTATTCGAGCCCACCTCTTCCCTGTATTTTTGATTATTGGGGAAAACAGTCATCTTGTTTGTTTTGGTTGAGTCCATGGGTGTATAACTTAGTTTCCTTGCAGACTCGCCGAATTTTTCGATTATACTCCTAATCTTGCTAACTTGATAAAATTTAAAGCTTCCATTTTCCCCTCCAGTTCCGATTCCTAGAGATGTATATAATTCTCCAAGATTTCGAATGTCGAAATATTCTTTGAGAATTCGTTCAACTTCTTGAATTGATTCACGCTTGTCGCTCACGAGTAATATGTCATCAACATATATGATTATATAAGTTCTTGAATTTTTTTCTTGTTTAATGTAGAGGAGCATGAAACAGCCTTTCTTTGAACATATCCTTGTTTGCACAGTATTTCAGCTATTTTGTGATTCCAGTTTCTAGCTACCTGTTTTAGTCCGTAAATACTTTTGTTTAATTTACAGACTTTGCTTCTGAAGCAGAGAGGTAACCTTCTGGTTGCT